GTGCGCAGACAGCAAGGGACCAATGAACTGATACCAAAAGAGAAGAATATCCACACCTTTATCTCAGCGGCTCTGCCAGGCGTCTGTGGCCGCTCCGATCCTTACCCCACTTGGTCTCACCCAACATGGCGGCTCCTGGAACAGCCAAGCGTCCCGAACTAGAAAGCAATAGATTTCTTGCTTCTGCCACAAATTCCCCCAGCTGTCTCAATTCAGTTTTGCATGCCACTTGTTTCCTTTTTAAATACCACTCTTATCCTCACCTAGCTCTGCTGGAAAACTTTCAGTACTTTCTCATTTTCCAACTTCGTGAGTTTAGAGTCAACCTGTCTTTTATCCCCCTCCATAATCTTAACATACCTCCACGAGCATCTTTATTTCCGGCATTCATACTAGAATCCATCCGTTGTTCTATCTTTACCCTTGACATCCAGCTTTCTTCTTGTTTCTGTAGACCACCGTATTCATCTTTCAATAGTTTAATCTTTCATCATCTTTTATGAAAGATCCAAGTCCTCAGTGAACTCCAGTTTCTTTGAACTTTTCTAATCCCATATGTAACACCGTCGTTGTTTTAAGCTTACATTAATTGTCCTGGAACCTTCTTTTCTCTCATTAGATTGTAAACTTTTAGTCGAAAGACATACTGGTTTCTGTACTAAAGACAGGCTAGATCATACAAAACAATCCCAAACGAACCAGATTATTTGATGGAATTATTTCTTTTAATTCCCAGAAAATTGTGGTTGGAGATGCCTCAGAAACTGCCCTCTTGAAATTCTCAGAAGTCATTTCGGGAGATGTGATGGAAATCAGAAACCGCAACCGCAGAGTAGCTGAAATCCCCTTTAACTCCATCAACAAATTTCAGGTGAGTTTTTCCTGATGGCTAGGAATTGTTAATCCTGCATGATGTTTCTATATTCACAGAGTCTTGGAATATGTTTCTACTAGGACATAGTCTTCACATCATAATTTAAATGATACCTCATTAAAAAAAATATTCCTCAGGGCTCCAGAGCCTGGTGGTCTGGTAAACCCAGCCTTCCTTGGTGGTCCTCTTTTATTACTTGAAGTAGGATAGAAGAAATGTGAAGAGCTCATCAGGGCCTGGTTGCTCCTATGCAAGCTCCCTCAATATCACACACACAAACAGAAATATATATACATATAGTTGTTGTTAACTGTCATTGAGTCAGTTCTGACTCATCACCAACCTGTGTAGGGTTTCCTAGGCATGGCTGGTGAGCTTGAACCAGTGACCTCACAGTTCAAAATGACCTTGTAGTCCAGCACATTAACCCTCAGCACCACAGCAGGACTCTATACATGTAGTAGTTGTTCTTAACTGCCATCCAGTCGGTTTAGACCCATAGCGACCCTGTATAGGGTTTCCAAGGAGCTGCTGTTGAGCTTGAACCGCCGACCTTATGGTTCAAACCAACTTTGAAGTCCAGCACATTCACCCACAGTGCCACACCAGGATTCCATACATACATACATATAGTTGTTGTTGTTAAGTACCGTGGAGTCGGTTCCCACTCATAGTGACCCTGTACAGGGTTTCCGAGGCTGTAAATCTTTACGGGAGCAGAAAGCCTCATCTTTCTCCCGTGGAACGGCTGGTAGTTTCGGACTGCCGACCTTGAGGTTAGCAGCCCGATTCATAACCATTACGCTACCAGAGCTCCTTATACATATAGTAATATTCCTTATCTCCACTTTTACTTTCCATGATTTCTATTACCCATGGTCAGGTATGGTCCCTGATCGTACATGAGTGTGTGTGATGAAATCTTATACCATCTAGCTCCATTCCAACTAGGCTGTGAAGGTTACCCGCACGATACAGGTTACCTTTCTGGTAGATATTGTTGTCAGTCTCTTTGCCTAATTTGTGAATTAAACTTGGTGTGTGTATAGAACAGAACAGCATCTACCTTCAGTATTGGACCATAAAGAGGGGACCACTCTATATACACACGCAAACAGAAGAAAAACCAACTGGTTGCCATGGAGTCAGCCCCGGCGCCTGGCAAGCCAATCTGTGTCCGAGTAGAGCTGGACTCTACTGGAGTTTCAAAGGATGGTTTTTCAGGAAGAGATCACCAGGATTTTCTCTCAAGGTGTCTCTGGGTGCACTTGAGTCTCTGGCCTTTAGATTAGTAGCCACACGCGCTAATGGTTCTGTTTGTACCATCCAGAAACTCCCATACACACACACACACATACACACATGGATGTATCCCTCCCTCCAAACACAAACACACCAGCTTCCTATATTAGGAGGTGCATTTTGACTAAATAAAATGCTAGGGAAAGAGTCTGACTTTAATGTAACTTGGACAAGTGGAAGGCAAACGCCTCGATGCAGGGGGTGGGGTAGGGACTTTCACTGCACGTGTGTCAGGTACTTCATGTACATTACCTTATTGACTCCTCACACTAGGCCTCTGAGGCGTTACTAATCAACTGCAACATACAGATGAGGAAATGAGTCTCCACAAAGTGTTGCCGTGCGTCTCTAAATGGCACAGTCAGTTTCATAACAAATCGGCTTCACTCCAAAGTCTACAACACAAAGGCAGAACAATTCTGAGTAAGCCTGGGCCTTTGTAAAACAAGCGACTCACTCTCAGATGACCAGCCACTTAGCTTTCTGATCAGTCCTGTAAATAGTTGTTAAGGAACTACCCCAGAGTTTTCTAAGTTATAAGCTTTGTTGTTAAGTGTGCCATGGAGTTGGTTCTAACTCGTTGTTGTTGTTAGGTGCCGAGTTGGTACCTTCCCATTGCGACCTTATGCACAACAGAATGAAACACTGCCCGATCCTGGACCAACCTCACTACTGTTGCCACTCTTGAGTCCATCGATGCTGCCACTTTGCTAGTCCATCTTGCTGGGGGTCTTCCTCTTTTTCTCTGACCCTCCACCTTACCAAACATGATATCCTTCTCCAGCGACTGGCCCCTCCTGACAATATGTCTGAAGTATGGGACTCATAGCAACCCTTTATAGGGTTTCCAGGGAGTGACTGGTGGGTTTGAACCACTAACTTAGCAGTTAGCCAAGACCAATGTTAAGCCTGCTGTGTCACACTAAGGTTCCATACATCTTCTAATCTTTATAGGTGTAGATTTTGCACCGAGCTGTGGGTTCACCACGATTGTTCTTTGTGGGTAATGGGCCAATAATCACATTTAGCTAAATAGGAAACTAACACAAATTTATGACATGATATATTAAAATCAGGAAACCTCTTGTTCAAAACAAAAGAGAAATTAGAATGAGCAGCAATAGGAATAGCTATTATTTATGTGCTACGCATTCTACATGGTTAAGTCTCATAACTCTGTGGAGCAAGTACTGCCCTCCTGCAGATGAGGAAATGGTAAGGTACAGAGCTTACACAGCTGCTAAGGTGCAGAGCCAGGGCCCAAAGCCAGGCAGTCCATGTGCTTGAGGACTATGTTAGAATATTTTCAAGGTTTTTAAGGAGGCTTCATTTTACCACAGTAAAGCCATTCCTAGTCTAGTCTTATCTCTGTCACTCCAGTCTCTGAATTCTTGTTGAGTGCTTAGAGGAGCATACCTAGGCTATGTGAGGGTTAGCCATTTTGTTATGTATATTTTTAAAACAATTTTGGGATTTATCTTTAGGATAAATTTATAAGTAGGATTGCTTGGTCAAATGGTGTTCATGTTAAAATTGTGATGGCTCAACCACATGGGAGATGTCACAACGGAACCAAAGGAAATCAAAAGGATAATAACAGAATACTATGAAGAGTTATACTCCAACAAATTTGAAAACTTATGAGATGGATACATTTTTAGATAGACACGACCTACCTAAGCTTACACAAAGTGAAGTAGAAAACCTGAACAGACCAATAACAAAAGAAGAAATTGATCAGGTCATCAAAAGACTCCCAACCAAAAAAAAAAAAAATTGTGATGGCTCTTACTAAACTGTCCCTTAGAAAGGTAGTATGTGAGCGTCTCCTTCCTTACCTTTCTGACATTTCTCTAACGTTAGAGCAGTAAAACTGGATCAATTCCAAGGTGAAGAGGCATAGGGCATTCCTGCTGACCTTATGCCCGCCTGAACTCAGAACTCATATTGTGTATGAGGGATGCCCCAACAAGGAGGAAGAGACAGGAGGTATGACATACAGGCTCAAGGCCTTACCCTTCTCAGGGGTATCCTAGGCGATCTCATTTAAGGCTGAAGATTTCATAGTTACAGCTGTAAATGGTCTCCATGGCCTTATTTAAAGTAACCAGTTAGAAAGCAAGTTGCACTTATTTTGGTTTCAAACTCAGGGTGCGTCTCTGGGCTGGGGCCAAGTCTCGATCTCTTGGGCAAAAGACAAAGAGGATAGAAACAGCCTGGGGATGTCACGAATCTCCTTCCAGTCTTCACATTTCAAGGACGGGTAGAACAAGAGGAAGGGATGCTCTTCACCTCCCTGTCTTGTCCATTAGAAGGCCTATACAGGTCATGCCCTAGTCATGAAGAAGGAATCAGTAGTAGATCACGTGCTGTGTGGGCCATGCTCAGTTATTTCTCTCCTCCCAGCTCTCCATCCATGAGACGGATGACCCCAATGACAAACGCTTCCTCCTGATGATGAAAGGGGCCCCAGAGAGGATCCTTGAGAAGTGCAGCAGCATCCTGATCAACGGCCAAGAGCAGCCCCTGGACAAGAGCACGGCCGAGGCCTTCCACACGGCCTACATGGAGCTCGGGGGCCTGGGCGAGCGTGTTCTGGGTGAGCTCCTTGGAGGAAAACTCTTATCCGTCACCTGATAGATGCCAGGTCCTGAGTCTGGGTTGGGATCCAGGATGAGGCAGGCATCGTTGAGTAATGTCTGATTTAGCTGAGTAAATACTAAGAACAATATAATAAACATGATGGTAAATCGATAACAAAATATTGTGACAATACAGAGAAAGATGGGGTCACTTCCCATAAGGAAAACCAGGGAAGGTTTTATAGAAGGGTTACATTTTAAACTGGACCTAGAATGACAGATAACCTTTTGAAGGGACATTGGGAAAAGTGTTGAAGGATGCAAGAATAATCTGAACCAGAGCACAGAGGCAGGGCTGGGTGAAGATAGGTAGGGAAGCACTGCAGAACCTTCTACGAGTGCTGAGTATTATAGGCGACACAAGGTCGTCCAGATTTAAGAAATAGGGAAGGAAGGTAGATTGAATGGCTTTGGGGTTTCACTAACAGGGAGAGGAGAGGCATGGGTTGAAGCAGGAGGTGGCTACCCTCACTCAAGTGCTCTAAGACCATGAGAATATAAGGGAAGGATCAGGTGCAAGAGATTTCATGGATACAGATGGGATGACTGTATTAATTGAATAATTCTAGCATGCCGTAATTCCAAATAATAACTCTCATACCATAATGAGGAAGTATTAAGAACTGTGAGTATATCTGTGCACCCCCCTTTTCTTTGGTCAGTTCTTCTACTTTCAGTAATCCCGAATTCATGCCCATTCCAGGTTTCTGTCATCGCTATCTGCCAGCAGATGAGTTCCCAGAAACCTATTCATTTGACATAGACACCATGAACTTTCCCACTTCCAACCTCTGCTTTGTGGGGCTCTTGTCGATGATCGATCCTCCTCGGTCCACTGTGCCTGATGCTGTTAGCAAATGCCGGAGTGCTGGGATCAAGGTGGGAGTTATTTTCCAGAGTCAAAAAGACCACCCGTATTTTTGTCTCTTTATATAAATATCATTATTTCCTTCTTTTATCTCTACTTTCACTTAAAATTGTGACTAAAATCACAATTTTAGTGATTGTCCAATAAAAACAAAATGATTTTGTCTATGTTAAATAACCCACAGCAGTAATTGCAGCGAGGAGGAAGCTGTCTCTCTATGCCATCGGCAATTAACTTGTACACCATGGTGGACAGTTCAAGGTTTTATTGCTTACTCTTGAGGTTGTTGTTGTTGTTGTGTGCTGTGGAATCGGTTCCGACTCATAGCACCCCTGTACAGGGTTGCTGAGGCTGTAAATCTTTACAGGAGCAGAAAACCTCCTCTTTCTCCCACGGAACAGCTGGTAGTTTCGAACTGCTGACCTTGAGGTTACAGCCCGATTTATAACCACTACGCTACCAGAGCTCCTTTACTCTTGAGGTACAGCCTTCAAAATCATGGTAGTTAGGCCAAATTGAGTTTGTTGTTGTTGTTAAAAAGTGCTGTCAAGTCGATTCTGACCCATAGTGACCCTGTATAGGGTTTCTGAGGAGCAGTTGATAAGCTTGAACCACTGCCCTTGTAGTTCAGATTGCTTTGCAGTTTGGTGCATTAACCCACAGTGCCACACCAGGACTCCAAAGTTACCATGTAATATGAAGGCTGTTGAAGAAATTTGGGGCTGATCCAAGTATACATTTCTTATCCCCTTTACAAATAATGTGACAGCAAAGGTTTACTCTGATGTTAGAGAAGGAAACGTAAGAAGCTCTGGAACAAGGCTTGATCCAATAGGATCAGTGTGTCCTAGAGAGATCGTTGTACCTTAAATCAAGAACTACTCACAAGACTAGCCCATAATTAATCACAAGCTATATATTCTCAAGTCTTGGTAGGATATACGAAATATAACTGTGCCTACTATCGCTGCCCTATTCCTCATTGTCCATATTTCTTTCTCATTGCGCTGTAGGTCATTATGGTGACTGGCGACCATCCCATCACAGCCAAAGCTATTGCCAGGAGTGTAGGTATCATTTCAGCCAACAGTGAGACAGTGGAAGACATTGCAAAACGCCTCAACATTGCTGTGGAGCAAGTTAACAAATGGTAAGCACAGAACCAGCAGAGCAGAAACTCCAGTTCTTACACATAGGGTCTTGGTGCTGAAGAGCTGTGTTATTTGGCACAAATCACCTTTTGGTGAAACACCCTCTCAGGGTAAAACTAGACTGATTTGATCTATACGTCATTGGATCTATCCATTCATTCATTTAAATTGTTACTAAGCACTTAATGGAGTCCTAGTGTGGTGCTGTGGGTTAATGTGCCGGACTGCAAAGTTGTTTGAACCAGAAGGTCTGTGGTTCAAGCTCACTAGTCACTCCTTGGAAACCCTATACAGGATTGCTATGGGTCAGAACCAACTTGTTGGCACTTAACAACAACAAAGCACTTAACATGTACCAAGCACTGTAGTGATGCTCACAAATATGACTAACTTTGTCTAAATTTTAGAATCCAAGGAAGTAGATCTGAAAACTTGTGCCCAATTTACAGTGAGAAATACTGAAACAAAGCATTTGTAAGAACTTCCTTGCTATTGATTTATAGTTGTATAATCGGGACTGTTGGATTCCATGCATCTCCTAGCAAGCATCGTGGACTTTTTCAGTAGGCTTCATAACGTGAAGTATATAAACATACTTTCTTTTTCACTTGGTCATACATACAGAACACAAACTTCCTAAGGAGAGACTCAGTTTTTCCTTGTTTCTCTTAATTCTTTCAAGTATCTCCAACTTTTTATTGATGTATTCATCTGTTTATTTATGATTTCTTCTAACAATTATCGGCTATGTATCATGTACTGTGTTAAGCGCTGGGACTATAGTAGTAAATGGAACAGACACTGTCCCTGCCCTTTGGGGAGCTTTCAATCTTGCCAGGGAGACAGAAAACAACAACTGATGATGTGTGATTAGTATGAAGGAGCCATACAGGGGGAGTGGGGCTGCAAGTGGACGAAGACCAATCTAGACTGAGGTGGTCACAGGGGGCTTCCAGGATACGAGGTTGATCGTTTTTATCCAAGTGTTTATGAAGAAAGACAGAGGTGTCAGAGAAAACATTAGGACTAGGGAAACAAAAGATCAAGTAAGAAAACCAACCAGGCAGCAATGTTGAAGAGTCTCCAGGGTTCTTTGTATAAATAACATTTAAAAAGCCAGGTTTGGGATTTTTTGTTCATTTCATATTTGTTTTATTTTAAGGTTTTTATTGTGAATTGAGTGAATGTTTACAGGGCAGATCATCAGTTTTACGTTCAAATCATAACACCTTGTTTCATTACAATGATTTTAATCCCCTCCATATACTATTAGTTAACATAATTTCTCTATATTCACTTTATCTTTTTTTTTAACCACAAAAAAACCACACAGGCATATATAATAATTTGCACCTCCAAAGGACACATTCTGCAAGTCTGCTTCTGGGCCACCAGCTCTTAGTCCCTCTCTGCCCCATGAATCTAGAGTCTCAGCTGCTCCCCCTCTCCATGACCCCATCTTTGCCTCTGTCTCTGACATCGCTGCTTCTCTGGATAAGGTCCCACATTCTGCTTGTGTTCTTCTCCCTTCATGGTCTTAGAGTCCTCTGTTTCTGGACTGTAAGATTAACCACTCCCATGTTTTTGTTACAAAACTTCTACCTTTACAATTGTGACAGTCGCAATTAGTCATGATAACAATTACTCACTATTGAATCATAATAATCTTATCCTCATCTCTTTCACCAGACCCATCTAGACAAGATGATAACTATTCAGTGGGGACTCTTTCTCTGCCCCCCTCTCTGAAATTAAACTTTCTCTTGAAACTTTGTAAGCCAGTCACTTCGTGCCTTTATTGCCCCCTCATTTTAGGTATCCAATGTCTAAGTTGCCTGTCCCTATCTACCCTGTGTACAGAGGGGATAGAATTGATACTGGATAGAGGGGATAGAATTGATACTGGATGTGAAGACTCCTTCCCTCTCTGTTGGTGTTTAGAGTTACTACCTCGATGAGTATAGGTCAGATTCATCAAATTGTAGCAATTTACCCTTGTTTCCTTTATCAAGAAAAAAAAATTTTTTTTTTTTTTAATCTTCCTCTAGTCAAGTTCTGATCATCAAGCCATCCAGGCTAGGTCAAATGGGTATTGTCTGCAAGTTTGGGTGTTCTTGTACATCTCCCCTCACATCATATCAGCTGGATGTTTCACTCTCAGCTCTAGCCCTCTGTGGCTATGCCCTTGTCCATGAACTCAAGGGTCCCCACATCTCACCACACTTTGGACTAACCAGCCCTTCCTCTTCTCTCTCTCATCTCCAGGTCAATGGGAGTCAGTGGACTATGGTTGAACTCAGTCCATTGCCGCATTGCTGCCTTTCCCCCTCTTTCACTCACCAGTAGACCAATATGGTCACCAGCAAGCTTACATGCCTGTTCATGCATTCCCTTTGAGTCTCTGTCTTAGAGGGGAGTTTGTCCTGAAGGAACTTGATTGCTTGCCTTGATGTCTTCCTAGCGAACAGCTTGCTTATTCTTGTAGTAGCCAGTCATGCTGACATTTTTGTTTTGGGTTTTTCCTGATGATCTTTCTTTGAAGATATATCTTCTTATTGCTCTAGCTGTTCCAGGCTGGTCTGCTTGTCCTTGCTAGTGGGAATATCCCACCTCATAAGGTTGTGGATGGGACTCAGGATTCCACCTAAGGTCCTATACTCTGCAAAGGCTCCACAAGAGGCCTATTTCACTGGGCAAGTTCTAGAGCCCGTTTTAGGTATTTCAATCAGTTATAGGCTGAAGACGGGCTTACAAGTTATCTGTAATCATGTTTCCCAACATTCCTTTCTATCCCACTCAAGTGTCTATTTTACAATAGTAGGCAAAGAAAACCAATATTCATAAGACAGTCAAGCATTTTAGTATTATTTCCCCTCTTCAAGCTATACCTAGATCCCTATATCACAGAGCCCTGTCATTCCAACGTTGAGTATGCATCACTATTTACCTCTGTCCCACTTAGGACATGCAAACCTGTCTCAGTGTTCCCCTATCTATCTTGTTCTTCTACCTCCTCCCCCTTCTTGTATTGCCTTCCCCAACACCCAAACTAAACCCCCCACCCCAACCCTATTGCTGTGGTTACCCTATATTCTGTATTCCATTAACTCTTCCCTTCATTTAAGACAGTCTATTTTATCCTGTAATCTACCTGACCTTCTTACCACCTGGATCTCTGATCCTTTGTGTTTACCATCTTTCACACTGTAGTTGTTTTGATCATAGACTGACCTCTCAGTTCCTCTGTTCTTATAATTTTATTCTGTTCTTGACTCTTCCATTTGTCGATGAGTTCAGGGTGATGCTACCATGTATGTCATTCTCTGGTTGTTGTCTGTTCTTCTTGTTCTCAGTCCATAGAACTTCCTTTAGGATGTTTTTCATAGCAGGGTTGGCTTTGGCAAAATCCCTTAGCTTCTGTTTATCCTAGAATGTTTTGATTACACCATCTTATTTGATTGACAGCTTTGCTGAGTAGAGGATTCTTGATTGGCAGCTTTTTTCTTTCAGTGTTTTATATACGTATCCCCATTGCCTTCTTGCCTGCATGGTTTCTGCTGAAAGATCCGAGCTTAATCTGATTTGCTCTCTTTTGTATGTTACACTTCTCTTTTCCCTAGCTGCTCGCCAGGATTCTTTCCTTATCTTTGATTTTGGAGAGCTTGATTATTATATGTCTTGGTGATTGTCTTTTAGGGTCTGTCCTTCCTGGGGTTCATTTCACTTTTCAGGATGTTAGGGAAATTTTCTTCCAGCTGCTCTTCACCTATCTCCTCTGTGGACTTCTGTGATTCTTCCTGTTCCAGAATGCGGATAATTCTTAAGTTGTTCCTCTTCATGTTGTCCAACGTGAATCTTAGGCCTTCTTCAGATTTTTTAAATCCTTTTTTGTGCTTGCTCTTCTATCTTAGTAGTGTTGAGAGCTTATTATTATTAATCGTTTGAACCTCTTTCTATAGGTTTTGAATTGTTTCCCATGTTATATGTATTTTATTTGATTGTTCCTGTAGTGCTTTCCTGACTTCTTCCTTATTTTTCTCAACTGCATTGTATAGTGTTTTGATACATTTTAAAATAATTTTTCTGAATTCCTTCTCAGGCATTTCCAAATCCTGCCCATCTTCCAGTATGGAGTGTAGGTCTCCTTCCAGCTCATTTGCCTCAGTCACTTTATCTCATTTCTGGACATGTGCCCATATGGTCATCTGTTTCTGTTTTTTGGGTGTATTCAGGCGTTATCTGTGGCCTTAATACTTGGATGGTGTGTATTTTGGTATTTTTTATGCTTTCTGATTGCCTCCAGGTAGATGTGATCAGGAGATGGGCTTCCCTTTTCACTCTTCTTCCTGAGAAATTTCAAGATGTTGGTCGTTGTGGTGTAACTCAGGATTTAATTTTTAGCCTATTTCCTTTTCAGTCTGCCTGTCCCACTCTGCAATCCCCATTCAGGACTTTTTCCTAGTTATAAATAGTTTAGGGCCAGCTGTGGCCAATTTGCACTGGCATTTAGTTTTAAGTGGAAACTGTCACTTTAAATTTCCAGGTAATCTGTGTGCATGTGTAGTAGAACCCTCTGGGGGTGGGGGTGGGGCGTCCACTCACTGAGGCACCCCCTCTAGTCACCAGAATGGAGTTGCGCAAACGACGAGAGACCAATGAACAGATACAAAAACAAAAGAATGTCCACATCTATATCTCCGCGGTTCTGTCAGGCTCTCTGATCCTTCCCCTACTTGGTCTCTCTCAAAATGGTGACTCCAGGAGTAGCTGAGTGTCTTGAATTAGAAAGCAATGGATCTCTTGCTTCTGCTAGAAATTCCCCTAGCTATAAGCCTTCCAACCTTCTAAATGTTCCTTTATATGTGGTTCAGAGTTCTGGCACCATCCCCTGAGCCTGCTTGGTCCGGTATTCTGTGTTGTTGCTGACGAAGCTCCTCACTGCACTTCTACCCGATCTGCCATCTTGTTTGTTCTCTGTTCATTTGGTTTTAAAAACAAACAGGTGTATGAATTTAAATCTAAGTAACCACCCTGAACAGGAAAGTGAGATGGATAATTTAATGACCATTTGCACTTTATCAGATCTCACGACACTTTAATAATTGCATTTGGGCAATTGCAGAGGAAAAGAAACACTCTTTCCTTCTTAAAGAGCCCTTTGTATTTTAATTCCATTTTTACATCAAATTTTTGAAGTCCTCTCATAGATCTGGTAGCCTTTGGCTTCCATTGAATTCTAGGACTCAAAACAAAGAAGCAAAAATTTCCCAACAATGTATTCTGAACAATTTCAAACATGCAGAAAAGTTAAAAATATTTTATAATGGACCATAATTTACCCATCTGTTACATGTTATTGTTAACATTTTTCCAAAGACAATGTTTACCCTACTTTTATTTGCTAAGTAAAACATTGCCAAGGAGGTACCACTTCCTCACCCATTCCTGTAATGAAAAGGCTGTTGGACTTTCCAGTCCTACTGTTACACAAGTGTAATACCAAGAAATGACCTAGCTTTTCGGCCTCAGGTTACTCTTGAAATGGGGAGTAAACTGTTCTCAATACATGTAATCATTCTTCTCTCACTTATTAGGAGCTTTGGTTCCATGGACTAGCACAGTGGTTTCTACACATGTACTTACTGCCCACAACAATGCTCCAACTTCAGGTCTAGGCTAAGATTTGACCTGGTCTCTCCTGGCCCTTCTAGGGATGCTAATGCCACTGTGGTGACGGGCATGGAGCTGAAGGACATGAGCCCAGAAGAATTAGATGCGATCTTAGCCCACTACTCAGAAATCGTCTTTGCCCGGACGTCCCCACAGCAGAAGCTGACTATCGTGGAGGGCTGTCAGAGACTGGTGAGTGGACGGCAGAGGGTCCAGGCCTCTGTCAGCAGGTGGACAAGTGGCAGGACAGATTATGCTCAGACCTGGGCTATGGAGTCATTTGAAACCTCTCAAGAGAAAGCTCTTTGCCGGTCATTGTCATTTCACCTCTCGGTCCTCTCACTGAGTTTATGCCTCACTCAGCTCTCCTAGTTTATGTCTGAAAGGAATGGTGCCAGCCCCTTCCATGCCACATGTCAAGGGGAGAACCCAAACCAGTTCTCTCACTCCATCACTAAAGCTAGGGGCTTCTGACAGCAAAACCTTTGGGTACTGAGCTAGGTGTGGATCTATAAGCATTACAAAAAATTAAAAATATAACACACAGCAATAACAGCCAAGATCAAAAAAGTAGGAGACAATAAATGCTGGAGAGGATGTGGAGAGACTGGGATGCTTCTGCATTGCTGGTGGGATTGCAAAATGGTCCAACCTCTTTGGAAAGCAATATGGCACTTCCTCAAAAGGTTGGAAATAGAAATACCTTATGATCCAGCAATTCCTCTACTTGGTATTTACCCACAAGAAATACAAGCCATAACACAAGTAGATATATCCACATCAATGTTCATAGCAGCACTGTTTACAATAGTAAAAAGATGGAGACAGCCGAAGTGCCCATCAATGGAAGAATGGATAAACACACTTTGGTACATACACACAATGGAATGTTATGCTACCTTGAATAATAACAAGGAAGCTGCAAGCCACCGCATAACATGGATGAACCTTGAGGACATTATGTTGAGTGAAATTAGTCACAAAAGGAGAAATACTGCATAGGACCACTACTATAAAAAACTAAGAAAAAGAACCCATACTAAAGGCGGGGAGGGGGATTCACTGCTGGTTACTGGGATGTGCGGGGGGGGGGGGGGGAAGGGAAGGTGGATCACAGGGCAGGGAATAGACACAGGATAGATTAGGTGCTAGGGACGGGGGCAATACACAAGAAAGGGGAGGGAAATGGAAGAACAAGGCAGATGGGAGAACAATTAGGCAGGTTTGTATGGGCTAAGTGGGACAGAGGTAAATAATGATGTGTGCACAACCTTGGAACAACAGGGCTCTGGAATAAAGGGATTGAGACATGGTAGGAAAGGGTAAAAGGGGGAAATAATGCTAAGATGGTTGGCTGTCTTTTGAATCTTGGTTTCCCTGGCATACCATTATAAAACAAACACTTGAGGGGAAAGAAAGGAATAGACAGGTATATCACCATAGAAAGCTTGTAAGTCCATCTTCTGCCTATAACTGATTGGAATACCTTAAAATGAGGCTACAATGTGCTCAGTGAAGGAGGCTTTCTGCGGAGCCTCTGCATAACTTAAGACCACAGATACGGAATCCTGAACCTCATCCAGAATCTTCTGAGGTGGGAAATGTCCACTTGAAAGGACAAGCAGACCAGCCTGGAGTGGCTAGAAGAACAGAAGATCTTCTTGAAAGAAAGACTGACAGGAAAAATACAAAACAATATAGGCAGATGGACTGATTACTACAAGAACAAGCAAGTTGCTTGCCCAGGAGACATTGAGGCAAGTGGTCCGGTCCTCTCAGGGCAAACCCCCTCCCAAGACTAAGGCTCAATGGGAATACACGCTCTGATTGGTGACTACGTTTGTCACCGATAAGCGGAAGTGAGGGAAAAACAGTAATGAAGCTGCGAGCTAAGCCCTACAATGTTCAATAGACTCTTGTGAACCTGGGTTAAGACCTGGTCAGCCAGCAGTGTGGCAAGACCTAGGGACTCTTGGGCCCAGAGTCAATGACATAGCCACAAAGGACTAGAGTGGCTAGTGAAGCGTCCAGCTCATAAGAAGAGAGGGTATATGCATAAGAACACCCACACATGCAGATAATACCCACTTGACCTGGCTTCAATAACTGGATGATCAGAGCTCAACTAGAAGAAGAAAGAAGAGGCGAAAAAGAGTAATCTGATACAATTTGATGAACTTGACCTACACCTATGGATGTAGTAGCTCAAAAGAGGGAACAAATCTTTACAGTGAGGATCATTCCTATCCCTTCCATACACAGAGTAGACAGGGATGGGCAACTTGGGCATTGGCTACCCAAAATGGGGGGGGCTACAAAGGCAAGAAGTGACTGGCTTACAAGCTTTCAAGAGGGAGCCTAGATCCTTAGGGTATGGAAGAAGGTAGAATCTCCACTGAGTAGTATTCAGTCTTTCTGCACGGGGCTAATGAAAGGAGATGGGGATAGATCCCTTGTACAATAGTGAATAATTATTATCAGTACTGATTGTGAGGGTTGGAAATGTAAAGGTGGACGTTTTGTAGCAAAAGGAAGAGAGTGATTGCAGCCCAGGAGCCTAGGTCCCTAGGACCATCAAGGGAGAAGAGCGGAGAGCGGGACCCTACCCAGAAAAGCAGTGACGCCAGAGATGGAGGCAGAGATGATGACATGGAGAGATGGAGCGACTGGGGACTCTAGACCCAGAGAGGGAGAGGGGCTGTGTGCTGACAGCCATGGGGCAGGCTTGCAGGGTAGACCCTTTGGTTGGTTGATGATGCGTGGAGGGGATTGTAACCATGGCAATGAAACAATATACGATAGGATAATTGTAAAGCTAGTATTCTCCCATGTAAACTATCACATAATTCACAATAAAACATTAAAATATATATATATATATATAACACCGCCTTTGCTTTGAAAAATATATATATATAACACCGCCTTTGCTTTGACTTATCACACACACACTAGTGTTTATTATCTGGATAAATTTTGTTTACAGCTCATTAGTTTTGTTTAATGCTTTTCCTCTATTTGTGATTTTCCCCATAGAGACCCTTTTACTGGTAGCTTTAGAATGGCTGACCTTGGTTCAAACTGAACTTGCAGTCCAGTACTTATCCTATAGCGCCACACCAGGACTCCATTCCCCTCCCCCCCATAAACCCACAGTTTCAGCTCTAGTGGTCCTCTTGCCTTACGATGAAATTGAGACTAAGTTGTTCTTGCCAAGCCCGTGATCCCTTGATCTGCTCTCTTACATTCCCTGGCCTTGTCCCCCAGGGCGCCGTAGTTGCTGTGACAGGAGATGGAGTTAACGACTCTCCAGCTCTAAAGAAGGCAGATATTGGAATTGCCATGGGCCTAGCGGGTTCTGATGCAGCCAAAAATGCAGCCGACATGGTCTTACTGGACGACAACTTTGCATCCATAGTCACAGGAGTTGAAGAAGGTAAATAAGGTCTCCAGTGAGCTTACCCAGGGTTGGGGTCAACTGGGGGGCTAAAAGCAAGCTCTATAGGAAGACATGTTTTTTCCTCAGGTCGCCTGATCTTTGACAACCTGAAGAAGAGTATTGCTTACACCTTGACCAAGAACATGGCTCTCCTTTGCCCCTATTTGATCTATGTTATTGTTGGGCTCCCCCTTCCCATTGGTGCCATCGCCACCTTGTTCAGTGACCTAAGCACAGACATTGTAAGTAGTACTTACGGGAATGGTGAACTGTGAACTTAGAAGACCAAGGAGCTGAACTTAAAGCAGTGTTTCTCAGACTCACGCAGCCATGAGGCCTGAAGTTCTGTGTTTCTAGAAAGCCCTTGGATGATTCTGCTGGTCTACTGACCATTTCAGTCCATATAGAAGCTTTTCAAGACATGAGGTCTTCATCCTCCAAAGGACAAAACATGTACCACTGGTCATTTCTGTCCCTGTGCCTCTTTTATTTTGGGAAAATGAAGCCATCAACAAATTAGTGCCTGTAATGCTAAGGCCCAGTAACTAAAGTGAGAACACCACAGCCATCCCTTTGTATGTAAAAATGAACTGTGTTCTGGAAGCTCTTCAGTTATCACAGTAAAAAATGGTTTATTTTATTAGTTGCCGTCCCAAAGTCTGCTCCATAGAGTTTTCAAGGCTGTGATGTTTTGGAAGCAGATCATCAGGCCTGACTTTTGAGGCACCTTGTATAGGATTGCTGAGGCTCTACATCTTTATGGGAGCAGAAAGCCTCATCTGTCTTTCGCGGAGAAGCTGGGGGATTCAAACCACTGACCTTGTGGTTAGCAGCCCAGCTTGTAACCCACTATGCTACCAGAGCTCATTACAGTAGGAAGTTGTTGTTCTTGTACCGTCGCGTTGATTCTGACTCATAGCAACCATGTATATGGTTTCCAAGGGACAAGCTGGTGAGCTTGAACCTCTGACTTGAAGTTCATACCGACTTTGAAGTCTAGCACATTAACCCACAACAACACACGAGTAAAAAGTAGCAGTTATTAAACCTCTATGAAAAAGGTTGGCATTAATCTAGACTAAATTCCACTTCACTTCTCTGGCATATTTTTGTAAAGATCAGGAAACTGGAGGTACTCCTCTGGCTCCGGTTATATGGGTAAAAGGGTAAAAAGAACATCTCAGTTGACAGCAAATTGCTTCATTTTTTCTTCTGTTGTTTTAAGTTGTTGTTATTTTAAGTAGCAACCCGGTAATACCTACATTGCAGGGGGCCTAGAGGTATCTTTGCCTCTGATGGGAACTGAGGGCCCCATAACTTCTAATCAGATTATTTTCTGGGCCCTTTAAGCTTGATCATTGTTCTCCACAGCGGCAGTTCTCCAAGTGATCCCCAGACTGGGAACAAGAGGCATAACCTGAAAACTTGTTAGCAATGCAAATTATGTGGCCACACCCCAGATCTCCAGAATTAGACACTCTAATGGGGCCCTCTAGGTGATTCTGAGAAACACTGTGCTGGTGCATTGCATTGTGGTCTAGGGACATGTCAAAGAGGAGCGGGGTGGTGAAAGAAATCCACCATTAGTATGTTTTCAGCTGCTGGTACATGATGATCTTATAAAGCAGATTAAAATTTTAACTGAGTCCTGCACCTCCAGGTGGCCTGACCACGTCCCTCCCAATGTCTACCACTATTTCCCATCTTTCCTGCTCACCTACTGCTATGCCACTGCTGTTTGGCAGGTTGTGTTTCCGGATTAGGATTCACAGCCTCTCTCTCCCCTCTCTAGATTCCTTCCATTGCCTTGTCCTATGAGAAAGCTGAAAGGGATATAATGAACCGGAAACCTCGCCACAAGAAGGACAGACTGGTGAACATGGCCCTCGTCCTTAACTCTTACATGCACATTGGTATGATATGATTATCTGCTACCTGCCACCCCAGAGAAGTTATTTGAGAAAGTTATAATGTTCGTTGTTTTTTTTTTTTTTTTTTCTTTTGGGATGGGAGAAGGGACTCTGAGGACAATTATAGAACCTTATCCCTTATCTCTCTTATTCTTTTAGGCCTCATGGAATCCGTGGGAGCTTTTGTTGTTTATTTCACCGTTTATGCACAGGAGGGGTTTAGACCCAGTACACTCATTGGTCTCCGAGAAGAATGGGAAAATGACAATGTGAATGACTTAGAAGATAACTATGGACAAGAATGGGTAAGGGAGGGGAAAGCTCTCCCTTGATCATCTTAGTGGTTCTTCCCTCCTGTCAGTGTCTTGCCCTGGTTGAAGCTGAAACTTCATTTTCCTGAATGTTCTTACTGAGACAAGAAGGTGAAGCTTCTCAGTTCTTAGGGTTTGTGGACACACTGTTTGGCCTTTGCCAAGCCTGAGCCTCATGCCTCGGATTAGATCCCTAGAGCTAACTTTTTTACATTTGTTGTTGTAATTGGTGTGGAAGAGTAACCAGTTGGACCAAATAAATTAGCCTACTTTCCCTTCTCACCTGGTTAAAGGAAAAGGCGGGAAATTCCTTTCTGAAGACAAGGAGGCGATCTGCAGTCAATTTGGCGAGTTGGGGAAGGGAATAAAGACCTATAGAACTGAGTTGAAATTTCCCTTCTTGAGTCTCATGGTCTCTCCATGTCTACTCCCTGACAGACCAGGTACCAGAGGCAGTACCTAGAATGGACGGGCTACACAGCATTCTTCGTTGCCATCTTGGTCCAGCAAATAGCTGATCTGATTATGAGGAAAACCCGGAGAAACTCCATTTTCCAGCAGGGTCTTTTCAGGTACGGAAAGTGTCTGATGTCATGACTTAACTCTGGGCCTACAATGCCATGATTTAATAGTTTCTTGACTTAAAGGTCACAGCTATGACCTTGCCTTTAATACACAAGGTGTCAGCTGTGTTGGGTGGCGTCAGTCTGGGTGATAGCAACGTGGTCCCATGTGACTTCAGAATCATCTGTTTACTTTTATGAATGTATCTTGCAGAAATAAAGTCATCTGGGTTGGGATTACATCGCCGATCATCATTGCGTTAATCCTGTCCTATGGCCTTGGGAGTGTCACAGCCCTGAATTTCACCATGCTACGGTGAGTTCCCCTGGCAAGGTGGAGGGGAGCACCAGCCCCCATCCTGAGCTATCAGAAGTAAATCAACATTAGCTTTCAGGAATTTCTTTCCATTCCCCAAGGCTTTCAAAAGAAAGACCATGAATTGATTTTCATTAGAGGTGTTGCTAGAAGAGGAAGTGGGTTTTCTAAACTTTACTATCTCTCTTCTCATCCGATAAATAGGTCATTTCAAAGGCAAATGTTGCTTCTTCAGCATCATGTTGTGACGTGCCATTGAGACGGTTCCGACTCATAGATTGAATTTCCAGGGAGCAGCTAGTGGGTTTGAACTGCCGACCTTGCAGTTAGCAGTCCAGTGCTTATCGTACACTGCCACACTATAATACTAAGACTCTATCGTAGTCTTACTATCATGGTGGTGGTGATTATGTGCCGTGGAATCGGTTCCGACTCTTAGCGACCCTGTAACAGAGTTTCCGAGGCTGTAAATCTTTATGGGAGCAGAAAGCCTCATCTTTCTCCCACGGAACAGCTGGTAGTTTTGAACTGCTGACCTTGCGGTTCACAGCCTGATTCATAACCACTATGCAAATGTTTTCATATTTATATGTTTCTACCCAGTGAATTTGTTATTTTCCAGTATGGCTGGCGTTGGGCCGGTCCTTGCGGTACACTGGTACTCACCTCCCTTCCTTCTGTTTCTAGGGCTCATTTGTGGTTTGTGGCTGTGCCATTTGCTGTTCTGATTTGGGTATATGATGAGGTGCGAAAACTTCTCATCAGACTCTACCCTGGAAGTAAGTATTTGTGGGCTTTGCTTACCAGCATCAACAGACCTGATACCTAATTGACTTTTTTTCTATACTCCAGGTTGGTGGGATAAGAACATGTATTATTAAGATCATGTTTATTCCCGAGTTTCCCAACTGCACATTGAGGATGTTCTTCATCTTTTGACCATCAGCTGAGTGATCACTTAGGCAACGGGACACCATCACAATTCATACCAGAGAAGGAAGAAAACTGTATGAAAGATATTTAACTGATGTTTTATACTTTAAAGCTGAGATCCCACTATTTGTATACAGTGTGAGAAGAGAAGATGTGTTTATGTACATAACTGTAAAGTCTTGTGTAACCCAGATATTTGCGGGGTCTCCTTATGCTCTAGGTAGGATTGTTCAAGTCTCCTTTCTACATTCTACTTAAGGTCTAATGACCTCCCCAAGATTTCTGCAAAGTCCTGTGGACCTTAAAGTATTTTCATGGACTTCTTACTGAAAAAATGTCAGCTGAAAGTTCACAGGAGCCAGGATGGCAACAAATTTGACTCTAAGACAGCCTCAAAAGTCATCAGTCATCTAGTCATGACAGCTTTCCTGGCCACATTAAACTTCATCCCAGTTTCTTGCCATCTTGCCAGTTTTTTTAAGGTTCTACTTCCAGTTTACCTTCCCTCTTCTCCCACCCCCCGAACTGCTCCTCCCCCTGCAACTAGAGCTTTAATTTACCTTTCTCCATCTCTTCCAAAACTCACTTCCATATTGCATATTCTCCATACAATAAGCTCTGGACTGTGAACCAATGGGTCCACAATTCAAATCCACCAGCTGCCACACGGGAGATAGATGAGGCTTTCTCCTCTCAAGAAGATTTAAAGCTTCAGAAGCCCTGTACAGGGTCACAATGAGATAGCACTTATAACTCCTCAAACTACACTGATGATCCAAAGGGCCTTTCATTGACTGGGATTCTACCTCAGTAGAAAGACATTGTGGTCTAAAATGACTACAAAGCACTCCATGGCACTAACTGTACATCAGTCATGTTTTATGTTTTCACTTATGTTTATTCATATGTAACATCCATGTTGACAGGCCCAGACGCTTTTAAGTAAAAGGTGTTTACAAACCAGGTCTAATTTTAATTGTTTAAATCTCTCCTGGTCATTTTACTTAAGGAAGGTCAGAAAATACAGGCTTTGACATTTGAACTCTTCACTCCCTGTATTCCTGTTCTGTTATGCCTTCTGATGTGCCCCCTTTGAGTCAGGATTCTATGGAAGGAGTATATACATCTTCAACCAGAACATTCTAGGGGAACCAATCTGATCTCACAGATCAGATTTAACCTGAAATTACATTTAGTTAAACTTTTTTTTCATTCAGATGGCCTACCTCATCACCTTTTCTCCATCACAGTGATTATTCAGGCATATGCTCTGTGAGGGTGCTAAGCTCGTATCTGTGGAACAACAAAAGAGATTTAGAATCAGTTACCTACCAGAATTTTCTCAGGAGTCACATTTAGCAGCACGAAATAGGTAAGGGAACCATTATTGTACCTTTACGTGAATAAGATGATAATATACAATGTATATGACGTGTGTGTATTTCAGTTAAAATAGTGTTGCTGTCCTCAGGGTCTTATTCTTACCACAATTGGAGTCCTGGTGTGGCGCTGTGGGTTAATGCACTGGACTGCAAAGTTGGTTTGAACTGCAAGGTCGGTGGTTCAGGCTCACCAGCAGCTCCTTGGAAACCCTATACAGGGTCGCTATGGGTCAGAACCAACTTGATGGCACTTAACAACAGCCTCATATCAGAGTCCTGGTGAGATACTGTAGGATAAGAACAGGACTGCAAGCCACAAGGTTGGAGATTCAAATACAGAAAAAATGAACACGATGTTCTCTGTGTAGTCACTGCTGCCGCCATGCCGACTCATCGCATGGGTGGAGGGAATCACCATTTTTTCTCGATGGCCCTCCATTCTACCATACATGATAGCCTTCTCTAGGGACTGATCCCTCCTGATAACATGTTTGAAGTATGGGAGGCATTCTGGCTGTACTTCTTCAAACACAGATTTTTAGTTCTTCTGGCAGTCCACGGTACTTTCAATATTTTTCTTCAGCACCATAACTCAAATGCATCAATTCTTCTATAGTCTTCCTTATTCATTGTCCAACTTGACTGCTGCTTCCATGAATATTATCCTAAAGTGTCACACCAGCACTTAACAACAATAAAACCATGGCTAGAGAAGGGATTGAGGTTTGAGCTATAATTCTGCAGAGTAAAATGGCAGTTTAGACTTCTTGCTAAGTCTCCAAAGAAACCGTTTTATGCCTTAATGGATGATGTTTCTGTGTTCGTGCTCATATATGTACAACCTGAGGTTTTATAGAATTTAGCTATTTCTAGTACTGCTTAAATATCAACAAATGCTTTATGGTATTTGTTATTCTTGGTACAGAAAGAGACCTTCAGGTCTTGGTTTTGTGTGTTATTTCAGACATTTGGCCCAATGCTGTGGCTAGCTTTTCTGTCTCTGGCTTTCATGGCAGTTGGGGTGACCACACAGACCATTTACACCTAGATGTCCTTTAAACCTTGAGTCTTGGGAAGAAACTGGTGCCTAAAAGCCATTTAAAAAAATCTTTTCTTTTTTTTTTTTAATTTTTATTACTAAATTCTTATGTCTTACTGGGTCATTATGTAAATTTCGTTTGCTTGCTTGTTTGTTTTCACTACGGGGATGTTAAAAAGAACTTGGAAGTCATTTTTGGATAGTACTTTTTATCTGTTCCTATCTCTTTCCCAGTTGGAAAAAAAAAATCTTTTATTATGAATTAAGTGATTGTTTACATTATAGAAAATCGGTTTTGTACTCAAGCAATTGTATTTTGTTTCATTGCAGTGATTACAATCCCCTGTGTGGACTGTTGGTTAGCAGGATTTGCCTGTATTCCCTCTTCTTGTTTTTTATGTACACACACAACCACCACCACTATTATAATAAAAATCTGATAGTGAAGTCTTATGGCTTGCTATAATGCTAACCAGGTCTCAGCAGAGCTTCCTGTCTAAGTTGGGCTGGGAAAAAGTCATGATGAGCTACTTCTGAAATTCAGCTAAGGGCCTGAATCATCCACAACCAGTCCTATGGGGGTGATACGGGTCTAGGCAGTCCCGAGTGCACATGGTTTCACTGTAACTGGAGGTTGATGACTTCCATAGTCCATTTGATCACCTTTCTTTGGAAACAAATATAGGTCTCTTCAATCAGTTGGCCAGGCAGCTGTCTTCCAAGTTTCTTGGCATGGATGAGTGACCCCCTCCAGTGCTACATCAGTTTGTTGAAAGATTTCAGTTTGTATTCCATCAATTCCCAGGGCCTTGTTTTCTGCCAATGTCTTCAATGCAGCTTGGACTCCTTCCTTCAGTACCGTTGGCTCTTGATCATATGCTACCTCTTGAAATAGTCGAACATCAACTATTTCTTTGTGTACACAGCACCATACTAAATGATAGGAGAAATTCTATGATTAATAAATATAGTGTCTAGGCTAGAGTTGCACATGATATAAAATGGAAGTTAAGATATACGTATTTGTAATCACTCCAGGTGACGTGTCTAAAATCAGACACTTGGTATGTGTAAATAGAGACGTATGAAAGTGGAATCTTAAATCTGTTTTAAAATCTTGACATGATTCTAGAATCCATGTTGAATTTTTTTTTCTCGTATATTTCTTTTCTTTTTTTTTTTTTTGGTGCTTTATATATATATTGTTGTTGTTGTTGTTAAGTGCCGTGGAGTCGGTTCTGACCCATAGCGACCCTGTACAGGGTTTCCGAGGGTGTAAATCCTTACGGGAGTAG